TTGGTAGAAATTCTTCTGATTCTCTCCAAGCCCAGGAGAAGTCTCAGAGCTGATGGGGCAAGTAAAGAATCCCTCCATCTCCGAAGGCGGAGGGGACGCAGTACTGCCCACCTGTGTCAGTTACTTTCTTTTCTTTTCTACTTGTCATGTGGTTTCCAGCGTGGGGGCCTTACCTTCCTGGCAAGGTCAAAGGAGGACGTTCACAGCACTCAGTTCTCTTCTCGCACCATGAGGGCCACTGCTGTGTGTCATCAGCCCTCTGAGCCTCAGCACGGGCATGATTCCCGTCCCCAGGCTCCTGCATTGATACAGAATTAAATATCACATCCATTTAGTGATTTCTTGGGGAATGGGTGTCTGAGAAAAACATTTTGAGGTCAAATCATCTTGGGTCAGAAGTCCCCACCTGACCTGAAATCTCAGGTATACATCAGGTTTTCAAAAATTTATTTTCCATTTTCTTTATTTGTACTTTGCGGGACATGGGACACCATGCTCTCAACTTTCCTGACCCAATACATGAATGTGGGGATACTTATTTCACTAAGCCTTTTGGGTTTCTTGCTTAGTTTTTAAAAACAACAGTGAAAACACGCTGCTCTGGCACATATTTAATGAACTAGCATTTAGCAATTTTATGGGAAATGCCATGTAAGTCCCCCTCTTGCTTTGATGGTAACCCCGAAACCCAGGCTAGGATGGGAGGTCAGACTTGCCTCGGAGGCTCAGGGCTCCTGGGCGTGTTTGGAGAACATGAAGTTTGTGATGGAAAAGCCGAAGAACAGAGCCGAGAAAACATCCTTCAAGCCAGAGCCACTGAACCATCCGAGCAAATGGTGAAGACAAAGGCAGAAACCAGAAGGGCCTCAAAATGATTACTTCTTGGTTTTGTGTTTTTGAGAAAAAGAACTGAACTTTTGATATTTTCACTGCTTAGGGGAAATGATACATGAATTCCTGCACAGAGAACATTAAGAAATTCCTTTGCTGATAAACAGATGTGTGGACAGATGGCGGATGAACGGGCAGCTGGCTGTTCCCACCCACTCTGTCAGGTTGCATGGCTTCGAGGAACCATATGCTGACGGGTCGTAAATCTAAATCTCCAGCCCAGGTTTCTTTCTGATTTGAGACCCACCAGCATTTTGAGCTCATAGTGTTCCAGGTGAAGCGCTCATCTCTGCCCTGCTTCTTGCCACCCGATGCTCCTGGCATGTTCCCTATATCCACGAATGGCACTGCGAGCCCCATGGCCCATGTCAGAATGCGGGTGCCAGCCTGACTCGTTCCACCTCTCTGACGACTCTCAAATTCATCTGTTTCCTTCTGTCTTTACTAACCCTGGTGTCAGGTTAGGCAATCATGAGCTCTTGCACGGATTATTAAAAATATAGCAGAGTAATCATTCCTAAGATACAATCTTATCACATCCGCGCTCTGCCACCTGTTATGTTAGGCCACCATTGTACTTAGGATAAAGTCCCAAACCCCACAGTATGGCTATGGGGCCTTCACAACTTGACCCCTGCCTGCCTCTGTCCACTTCCCTTTTGCCCATTCCACTTCCACTTTGGGCCCCAAAATGTATCAGTCAGTAGAGGCTGGTTTATGCTACAGTAATGGATGGCTCAAACATTTCACAGGTTTAACAGATAAACGTAATTTCTTGTTTATCTGCAGTCTGGTGTAGGTGGGATGACCCTCCAGGTCAGCTGTCCTTCACAGAGTGGTCCGGCAATCCCGGATCTTTGCTTTTGTGGCTCAGCCACGCCAACATGCAATGTCTATGTGAACTGCAAAATGGCAAGAAAGAGATTAGAGAAGCCACAGGAACTTTTCACTGCCTCAGCTCGGAAGAAGACACATTTCCACTTGTTTCATTGGCCAGAATAAGTTGCATGGCTCTGCAGGAAGGCTGGGAATTGCAGCTGTCTGGGGGCATCCAGGAAGGAGGTGCATTAGGAGGGATTTGGCAAATATATAGCATTTTCCCTGCCACACCAAACATCTAAGAAACACGTGGTTGTTGAATTGGAACTTTCATCTTTGGGCCTTCACACGTTTTCCTCTTTGTCTGGAATTTTTACTTCACACCCAAAGCTTCTCATGAATAATTCCTGCCCAGAACTATTTTTGTGGAGGAATGCATGGGAATGCCAGGCTAGAACCTCTTTCTCAGGATAATGAAGCTGGAACAGTATTCCAGAAACTGGCTTTTAATTGTCATCCATGAGATGAGATACAAACTATGTCCTTCTAAATTTGATTTTCAATTCAAATCAAAGTGTTTACTTATATAGGTTTTCATGCCTCCCTTTGCAATAAACAGAAGCCTGTTTAGATGGTTCGTTTTATGTTGATGAGCAGCCATCTCCCTAGTTCCGGATCTGGTGTGTCACCTGGCCCGTTTCCCAGCTGATACCACTGAGAATGTTCTGGGCAGAGAAAAGAGATGAACAGGTCACAGGTGAACCATTTCTTAGTTATTTTTAAAAAATGTAACAAAGGCACAGACACTGGATTAATTTGCTATTGTTGCATAACAGATTTTCGCACACTCCTGGCTGAAGACGACTCACCCTCACCAGCTCAGCTGCTGTGGTTCAGGAGCCCGGCACGCTCACCTGGGTCCTCTGCTTCAGGGTCTTTGGTGGAACTGCAGCCGAGGTGTCAGCCAGGGCTGAGGTCTTATCTGAGGCCTGACCTGACAAAGTTGTGCATCCAGGCCCACATGGTTGTTGGCAGAGTTCGTTTCTTTTGCTGGTTACAGTTCGGGGTCCTCAGCTCCTTGCCACATGGGTCTCTCTGTTTCGGTGGCTCGCTCCGTCAAATCCAGCAAGGCAGAGAGTGTCCCAGCAACAGGGAACTCACACGGCTCTCTGACATCATCCCAGAGGGATGTCCCATCACCTTTACCATAGCCTGTGGCTGGCAGTGAGTCACAGGTCCTTCCACACTTGGAGAGGGATTACGTGATGGCATGAATACCAGAAGACAGGGATCCCTGGGGCCCTGTGAGAATCTGGCCACCACAGACACCCTGCAAATCCTTGATTCCTGATTAGGCTGTGTAAACATACATGGTGGAAGGGGTCATTTAGGACTTATTCTAGAGCAGGTAAGAGATTTATTCATTCTTACCTGGATCTACCCACCCCCAACCCAGCCATTTTTATTAACTTAAAAGAACTATTTTGGATATTAGAAGCACTCGGGGGGGACTCTAGCCCTCCCCTGCCCCACCCCCAAAAACATTTGGAACTTTCTAGAAAGAGTCTGGTCAATACCACCTTCACCCTCCTGACAGAGATTTTGATCAGCTCAGCACCCCCGTGCTGTAGCTGTCCTAATTCCTAAGTTCCTGACTTGAAATCACAGATCTGGCACCTCTGAGAAGCCATGAAATCGTAGACCCGGCACCCCGAGGTGCTCCCGGGGGCCCCAGAGCCAGGTGAGGGGCAGACCAAGGGCGAGAGTGTGCCAGAGCCCCTCGCGCGGAGCCGCCCCCCATCCAGCCCCTCCTCAAGGACTTCTATTTGCTTATGACGAGGAAGACTGGAACGCGTTTATGAAGCAAATTCCTGTTCCAAAGAAGGACCCCACTCAGGCAGGCAGAAAACCCCTGCCACTCACTGAGTACGCTTCCCGTGTGGGGCTGAGGAGACCTGGGGAGCCCTGCGGAGGGGTGCCGGGGTGTGGGTGCCCTGTCCACACTCTCACTGTTGGCAGGAATGCTTAGCCCCCTCACAGAGGCACTGCCTGGACCCACAGCGTGGGCGAGCATGGCGGTCAAGGGCTGGTACCTGAGGTCTCTGGAGTGTTGTCTTTGGCTTATGGGGGCTGGGAGGCCACACTACCACCAGCTCCAGAGAAGGCGATGACCGACTGGCATGTGGGCACAACGACCCAGCCTATTGCCTTAAGGCAGAGCAATGCTGTGGGGCAGCTTCTGCTCCCGGGTCCCTGAGGATCAAGCAAAGGGCACAGGCTGGCTCTGGTGGTGTTCCTTCCCGTAAGAATCTGGCACCCTATGGCCCCATGCTCGCCCAGCACCGCCCCAGTGCGCCGGCCTGCTGCCTCCCGGTGGCTTTGGCGGAGGGGAGGGCACATCTTCTGTGTCCACTGCAGTCAGCTGTGACTCCTGTGGGACATGCCCCCACGTGCGCCATCTTGTCAAGTCCCCAGCACAGCCTTCACGGGTGGGGCGGGGGGGCTTCCTGTGGCCACCTCATGAGTCCTGCACCCAGAACGGGCAATTCTACCTGAGGAATGGCACAGCCTGGAGGCAGACTGGGTGGGCATCTACACCCAATGGCCTCATCTGACAGAAAGGCTTTTTCCGGGGTTCACTGTCTTCTGTTCTTCCCACTCCACAGTCCTCCCCACCTCCATGCCAGGCCTGGAGGAGGGACGGGCTGGGAGAGCGCTGCTCCCGAAGGGCCTGGTGGTGTCCGCCACCCAAGGGCGCCCCGAAGGTGGTGACTGTGCAGGTATTTGGGTGGGGGCAGCCCCCGCCACCCGCCTTATGCCTCTGGGTCTAGGCCGAGGCCAGGAACAAACATTTCGCCTTATTTCTCTTCACCTCCAGAACAGCAGTCCACAAGGAAATGGGCCCCAAACACCAGGCCTGGGCACCCGCGATCGGGGTAGCTAAGGGGTTCGCTGTGGCCCACGCGTGGCTCCCGAGAAGCGGCACCAGGTACCCGGCGAAGGGGCGCACCCGGCAGCCCCCGGGCCCTGGCAGGGCGTCCGCGCGGGGGGCGAGCTCCCGCGGGTCCCGGCCCAGTGTGTTCTGCCTCCGGCCGCCGAGGCCGAGCGGCGCGGGCCCGCAGGGGCCCCGCGTCCGCCTTGGGGGCCGCTGGCGGGAGCGCTCCGGGCGGGAGGGGAGGACGGCCCCGCGCCCGGCTCCGGCGAGGGGGGCGCCCGGCTGGCTCGCGGCGCGCGGCCCTTTGCCCGGCGCGGCGTCGGCAGCCCGCTCCCGGTCCAGCGCCTGGCGGCCGGCCCGGCCCGGGGAGTGGCTTCCAGGAAGCGGGCGGAGGGCGCTCCCGCCGCGTCCCGCCGTCGCCGAGCTCGGGTCCCCGCTCGGGCGCAGCGCGCGGGCAGGGAGGCGGCGGGCGCCCGGGCGCGCCGTGCACTTGCCGGGCGGCGCAGGTGGCGGCGCGCGCCCTCCGCCCTGGGCCCCGGCCAGCGCCGCGCGGCGCCCGGAGGGGCGGGGCGGCCCGGCCCCATTTAACTCCGCGGCGGCGGCGGCGGGAGGCCGGCGTCGGGGGCGGTCGGGGGCCCGAGGTCCGCGCGCGGTGCTGGCGGGCGGCACGGCCCGGACGCGGCTGCGGCGCCAGGTGGGTCGCGGGTCGGAGCCCCGGCGCTGCGGGGCTGCGGGCGGGGCTTCCCCCTCCTGCCCGAGGCTCGGGACGGGGGCGCCTCTCGGCGCGGGGACCTCGGCTCGGCACGGCCCGCGGCGGGCGGGGGGCCTCCGGGAGCGGCTCCGGGGCCCCGCGGGCGGGCGGAGGGCGCCCCGGATCGCGGGGCCACTCCTGGGTTGGGGGGGTGTCGGGGCAGAAACCGGGCTGGCAGCAGACGGGCGCCTGTGCGTCCGAAGGGCTGGCCGGCTGGCGACTGGGTGGCGAGCACCAGGGCGCCGGGGCTGCGGCGGCGCGCCCCGTGGGGAGTGGGCGCTGGGCGAGGGGCGCAGCGGGGGCGAGGGGCGCCCCTCCCGTCCCGGCCCGCGCCGCCCCGCTGCAGCCCGCCCGCCGCCGCAGGTCGGACACGGCAGCACAGTTGCGGATCGCATCAGGGCAGGCCCGTCATGCTTCCTCCAGATGGAGAGAGGCCCCCGGACACCGGCTCCTCCACGGCGGCCGCGGGGCGAGGCGAGGGGCGGGCGTGAGCCCCGCTTCTCCAGTCTCTCTCATGCCGATTCCCCTGTAAACTGCCGGGAGTCCCGGGAGGACACCCCCGCTGGCCTCAGAGCACCTCTGCAGGTTCCCCCTCACCCACTATGGGGAAGTTGTGCCCTGCTGGCCTTGGGCACTGTCCTCCCAGCCTCCCTTATCTCAGCGCTCAGGCCTCGCTGGCTGCAGGTCTGGGGCTCGGGGGACGCACGGCGTCATCTGTAGGCAGGCCGTGAACCCTCCGGAGACGGGCGTCCCAGCCCTCGAAAACTCACTGGCTTGCTGTGTTACCTTAGGCAAGTCCCTTCCCCTATCTGGGGTGGAGTAGTGGATCTCAGACTCACTTTTGCCTGCAAATAGCAGAAGCTGGCAGATGCCCTAACCCTTGGCTCCGTGCGGGCTCTGTGAGTCAGATGCCTGTAGCCACACCCTGAGACTGACAAATGGGCTGGGAGGTGGCTGGTGCAGAGGGCGCCGGCTCAGCCTCTGCAGGGCTGCAGGTGTGGGCTGCACGCTGGAGGCAGGACCCGCTGCCTTCCTGACCTTGATGTGGACTCACCCTAAAGACAGCCCAGAAAGCCTGTACCCTGTAGTAGGTAACCCCATTCTGGACCAATACAGACCTCACCAAGACGTTGTGGGGGGCTTGGGGTTCCCTCCCTGTGATTGGTCTGTTAGGTTAGGGATGCTGTCCCTGGGGCCAGGGCTGGTTGGAAACTAACTCTTTCCTCTTTCATAGGCTATGAGTGAGAACCCCAGGAGACCGGACCCCATGGCTTCCTGGAAGATCCCCTGGGGGCTGCTGGCATGGATGGTTTTCATGGGCTCTGCCCCCCTGCAGGTAACAGGGAAGGGAAGAGGAACGGTAGCATCTCCCTGGTCTCTTAGGAGTGTTATTCTGATTTCTTATTCGTTATTCTGAAGAGGTGCAATGACTAGGGCTAATCCTATGCCGAGGAGAATCTAATTTTCCTTCTCATCTTCAGCAAGTGGCATTTCTGGGTGAATTAGCTGTGAGGATGACCCAGGTCCCTTGGGTCTTCTCTGAGTCCTGAGCAGGGCCTTGATGCCACTGTGGACCCTATGGGCCAGCAATGACCTGGGGCTGTGATGGGCCCTGTCTTTTTGCCTAGAAGCGGCTCTCAGCATGTACCTACCTACTAGAGGGGGGTGCTGCTGGAGGCCAGGACACTGAGTGGACAGAGCCCAGGTTCCGGCCTTGGTTCAGCCACTACGTAAGTACTCTGAGTCTGATTGAATCAGCACCTGTCATGCTGCTTTGCAGTCCTTTCTTCAGGCTTCTGTTTCTCCCGCTAGTCCAGGAGGACCCCGTTGCATCTACGGCACCCTCATTTACCTGGGGTGCAGACTCAGGAGTGAAGGGAGCATTGCCTGAGCAGAAACAGTTGATACCTACTAGAGGGGGGTGCTGCTGGAGGCCAGGACACTGAGTGGACAGAGCCCAGGTTCCGGCCTTGGTTCAGCCACTACGTAAGTACTCTGAGTCTGATTGAATCAGCACCTGTCATGCTGCTTTGCAGTCCTTTCTTCAGGCTTCTGTTTCTCCCGCTAGTCCAGGAGGACCCCGTTGCATCTACGGCACCCTCATTTACCTGGGGTGCAGACTCAGGAGTGAAGGGAGCATTGCCTGAGCAGAAACAGTTGTGGGGAGAGTGGCAGAGTGGATGCACATGCTCCCCCTGCTGGGAGCACCCTGCCCTCCATTTCAGCTGATCATTGCCGAGTGGGAACACATGTCCGGGACTGCCAGCTCCTCCAGGTTGTCAAGACAGCTGGATCATCCTTATCTCCTGGGAAATCTCCCAGTTTTTAAAGCATTGAAAGCCAAACTGCCACCTGGATTTAGCCAAGTAGTTTATAACCCCAGATGTAAGGTGCAGAACACACCTCAGTCCTGTGCCCTGAGGGCGGCTGCTGGCCTGTGTAGTGCCTCGTGGGAATTGGAGCGTGTGAGCTCAGATGATGTCCTGTGTGACCCTCAGGGTCTAGCATAGGGCCTGGCACTGAGTAGGAGCTTTAAAGTCTGTCAACTGAGCATGCGCCCATGGACAAAGAGATACATCCTAGGGTAGATTAGACGTACCTGCCTTCGTCTTCACTCTCTTGGACTCTTGTTTCTAAGCACTGAATCAGCTCCAATGTCCCATAATTCCTGTGAACTCAGGAAAACTGATTAGCCAGGCACACCTTCCCATCATCCCCTATGATTGGTGGGGCCCCATGATTACATTTTAATAGCTACCTTTTGTTAAAAGGAAACTTCAGTATTTTCAGGGTTATTTTAGGGTCTCTGTGGTCAGTGAAGTGGAGTGTTGGACGCGAAAGGGTGGATGCTTGCGTTTCCATCCCGTCGGCAGATCCGGGACAGACTATGGGAGCTACAGAGATTTGTTCTTGGTCGAATGGGGCTGAGGCTTCCAGGCTCAGTGTTCATTTTGTCCTCTTTCACCCTATAAAACTTAAATGTGCTTTGAGGCAGTTGTTAATCTTTGGCCAAAGGCAGTGTTTGCCCAGCTTGAGTCGCTCAGGGACCGCCTCTGGCGGTTGTTGCCATGTATGGGGTGGTGAGCGCAGGAGATCATAAAGGGAAATGTCAGCCCAGCCGTCTTCACTGTACAGACGGTCCGCTGTTCAAGTCCCAGCTCCACCCCTTGGTTAGCCGTCATACGGACTCCTCCACCTCTGTGTCCACATCTGTAAGGAGGTGGCGTCCACCTCATCCGACTGGAGGCGTTAATCCATGACCAAGTGGGGAAAGTCAGAGAAAAACAGGGCATTGGGCACGCATGCCATCAATGGCTGCTCTGCAGCGGCTGCTGCTCAGTGTGAGGGGCTTGAAGCTATTTCTCCTGTGGAACTGTGGGCGGCACCCAGGATGCATCAGCGTGGGAGAGAAGCTCCCAGGAGGCTGCAGGGGTGGGTCCCGTGGGTGAGTGCAGGTCTGGCCAGGGCAGTCCCACCGTGGGCCCCGGGAGGATGTCTGGGGAAGGGGAGGGTGGCCCTGGGACCCCGCCCATGGGCAGGACACGTGCTCATCTCTGTAGGGCCAGCGGGGCTTTGATGCCCAGTTTAAACCCGCGGGGCCTTGGATTTCAGGGTCTGGGGCCTGAGCTGTCCATTAGTGTCTCCCTTGCCTCATAAGCGCCGCCGCCTGGTGGCTAGTTGAGAACCAGGAGACGCATAAGGCTGAGCCGCCAGCAGCGGGGGCTGTGCCCATAAATTCAATGAAAACTAGATTTTCTGTATTAGATCAGCTAAAGCCACAGGTCACCGTGATGTACGGCAGCGCGAACCCAGCGGTTGGCGGCCTTGGGTCTTTCTAGATGGTCTTGACTGCCGCTGGGGGAGCTCACTGCCCACCCCCCCCAGGGGCTGCAAAGGCCGCCCGGGCTGTCCCGTGGGCCCTGGCGGCTTCCCGTTGCTCAGGCCCTCGCCTCAGGGACCCTGGGCGTCCCTCTTCTGACCTTCATGGAGCGGGGCCGGCCCACCGGGGCGTGCACACGGCGGCAGCCACGGCCCCCACCTAGGGCGGGCTCCCTTCCGCTGGGAGAGGCCCGGGCGATGCGAGGGCTGGACGCCCCACTTGATGTAAAGCTCACCTGCTTCTGTCTAGTCTCGGCTCGACACGTGGCTCCCGAAGTGGGCTCGTGCCGGGGTCCCGTCTCTTCTCAGTGGAACGGGCGGTGCAGACTGGCCAGGGGACACCACTTCCTTTTAGTTGTTCTGGGCTGGAGGCAAGGGGCCGGGGGGCGGAGAGCAGAGTGGGCCACAGCGCCTCACTTCCCGGCTGCCTCTCTGTGCGCTTGCCCTTCCTGGGGCGTCCGGCCTCCCCGCCCTCTGGATGGCATGCAGGAGCCCCTCGGAGGGCGCCGAGGCGCCTGTTGTTCCCGAAGTGGGAGGCCCAGCTCTGGCTTGCCTCGTGCCGCTGGGGTCTTCTTGCCCAGCAGGCGCTGGTGCATTGGGGGGCTGTCAGGCCGGTGTAAACCCAGCTCCCCTTAGAGCTGTCCCCTCGATCTGTAGGGACTGCTGCATCCCTGCTGGGCAGACAGGGGGGGCAAAAGGCTGCCCAGCGCTGCCTCTGTCCTGCCCCCTCCCTTCTCTTCCCCATTCCTGGCTCTGGGAGGCCCGGGACAGATCGGCAGATCCAGTGTAAGAAAATGTCCATGTGGGGAGTGCAGCGCCATTCTCTCCTTACAGGCACCCCGGTTTCTACGAGTGATTCTCTGCAGGGCATCCTGGCCCTCCTCCTCAGGGCCGGGGTGGGAGTGAGGTGGTGGCCGGTGGTACCAGGACGTGGGCACTGAGGCAGGACCAGCATGTGCTGGCTTCTCTTCAGAGGGTCCCTTAGCTCCTCTTTGTCGTCAGCTCAGGCCCCTAAAATCCAGGGCTCTGGTGCTGGGACAGGCCCACTGAACACTTTGATTCTAGAAGGAGACCTGCTGGCCCTGGTCCTGGGCCGGTGCTGGTCCCGGCGGCAGCTCCGGCCTCAGCGACTGATCTCAGGGGCTCTGGTCTGATGTTTCGGGATCTTTAGTTTAGGTGGTTCTCGGCGGCCTCTGCGGTTCTCTCCGCAGTGGTTTCCGGTCTTCCTCAGTCATTCAACCCCTGGGGCTGGTTCTGGGCTCAGTGGCTCTGGATACCTCGGTGGTTCTGGCATCGGTGGCATTTCTGACTCGGTGGCTGTCATTTGGTGGAGGCCCTGGCCTTTGTGACAGTGTTCCCCCTCTGACACCGTAAACATTAATCCCAACCTTTAGCTTTGGCTCTGTCTCCCTTATGTCAGAGGGCAGACTCCAAGCGTGGCTGGTGGCTGTGAGGTCCAGCATCAGGTGGTGGCCTGGGTCAGTTTCCTGGTAACTGAATGGGGTCCCACATGAGCAATGGTCAGAGGTACGTGAACACTTGTATTCACCCTATGCAGTAGCTCCTTATGATGCCCATCATTATGGCTGGACCTTTGTTTTTCTGTGTCCTTTTCATTGGCTTCTCTCTTTCTGCATCTTCTCCGTAGCTTCTGACCACCCTTCCTCAGAATTCTCCAACTGAGTTTGTGGCACTTCTTCTGCTGTTCCCTACCCAGTGAAAAGGTTTAAGAGACCGACAATCAGTTGGTTGAGCACATTGCTGTAGCCTGACATTCTGCGTCCAGAGGCACTGACCACCAGCAGAGAACCAGGCAAATAAAGCATTTAATTTGTAAAAAAAATAGAAGATAAATGAAAGGAAAATAAAAAAAATTTGCCTTAGTACTACTACCCAGTACTAAGTATTAACATTTTCCTGTGTGATCTTCCGGACTTGTTCTATGCATAAATGCGATGTGATTACACGTATGTGCTTTGATAAATGGCATCAAGCTAAACTAAACATACTATTTATGCATCATTTTTTTCAGTCAGTGTATCAGGAGCACCTTTCTGTGTCAATAACCAGGCGACGGCCGTGTCGTCTGTAACAGTGGTGTCCCTTGTACTTAAAGGTACACCGCAGCACCTACATCTGTTCAAGCACGTGCTTCCTGTGTCGGACGTTTGAGCCGCTTCTGGGGTGGTTTGGGCCCTTGTGTTTGCTGTCAGCCAAATGTAACCAACATCGTATGCTCCTTCTTTGCCCACTTACTTGATTATTTCCTTAGAAATAGTCTCATCTCTGGCCCTTTTTAAAAGCCACCCAGTCCCAGAGTTCTGCCCTTTGCCCTCTTTCTCTTGCCATCAGCTCTCCCTGGGCACCCCGATCCCTGCCCTGCTCTCCCTCCAGAGGCCCCTGCTGGGCTGCGTCTCAGGAGGACCCGGGTCTCACGATTCAGACATTCAAATTTAGGCTTTCGATGTTCTCTTCAAAGAGGCTTGAATGTGCCCTGAAAAGGTAGAAAGTTGTATATTATTTTACATTAACTGCTAAGTGTAAACAGTGAAAATAAAACAATTCTGATTGCCCTGTTTTGATCTCTCTCCCCGCCTTTCCCTCTCCTTCTTGACGGCCTCTCCGAAACGGGGGAGGCGCACATCCCTGAGAGGCTCTGCCTGCCTCCTTCACGAGCTGTACATCAGTGTATCCCCGAGCTCTGGCCCGCCTCTGCCAGGACATCCCCGAGGGCCTCAAGTACAAGAGCCCCTAAAAGGAAGTCCTCGTGGCCCCACCCTGCCCCGTCTCAGGGCCCAGATGCTCCACTGTCTCGTCATTGAGCTGGAATCCCGGGACCCTTCCAGATGCCTGCTTCTCCGTTGCCCCTGCCCGGTACCCATTCGGCCTCTGCCTTCCATTTGTTTCATCTCAGAAATGCCTCAGATCTGTTTCCTCCTCTGTTAACATTGCTACCGTATGTTTGAAGAGTCCGGTATATGGCAGCACTGGGTCTGAAATAAAGGTGGACAGTCAGGCTACGCGGGGGAGCACCTTGACAAGCATGCAACAGTGAATAAGCAAATAATGAAGAGGACTTTATTGCGAGGGCAGCATGCAGGCCCGGGGCACTGGTCAGGAGGGGATGGGGGCACCATTAGGACCCCATTGACCCTGGGGACGCACATGAGCAAAGGATGGCGGGGAGACTGCTGGCATGCGTCATGACGACACCCACCTTGGACCCACTTCATGAGGGCGCGGGGAGGGAGTTAGTCGTGGACAAAGGATGTGAGTGTGGAAACTGTCTTGGAACCTGAAGGGGTAGAACTTGACAAGTGGCTATATGTGTTTTGAGAGGGAAGAACTGAAGGTTATTTCAGGTTTGGAACAAGTTTTAGGGACACATAGAGGTGAAAATTCACGGTGATCTTATGGAATGGTTGGTTATATTTGAAGGAGCAGTTTTGGGGAAAGATGTGGACTGCAGGTGAAGCATTGTATGGTCCTCTCTGAGAGGGAAACAAGATCATTGGCAGTTTTTCTGAGCAAAGGGAACATTCCAGCATGTATGTGCTCCAAAGGAAGCAGGCAGGAGAAAGGGAGGGAGTAAAGATGCAAGAGGAAAAAGCCAATTATAGGTAATTGTTCCATGGCAGAAAAAAAGTAGGCAGTGGTCTCCCATTGCATTGCTAATGGATCTTAAAGCACCAGAGCTAACATCCTGTGGAAACCACATTTCAAGGTTTATAATTGTGATTGCTCTCAGTTTATTTTTACAAAGATGCTCATTTCCATAAATAGCATGGAAGCATAAAGCAATTTCCTTTCCAAGTATTTCATGCAATTACTTTCTGGAATTTGTCAGCACTGAACAACTCCAGCCGATGTATGCTGTAAATTATGTGCTCAAATACTCAGAAAAGCATTTGTTCTGCAAGCCTTCCTTTAAAAATATAATAGCATTTTATTTTGAAATAAGTTTTAAAAAAGGAAGCATAACTCTGTTTTACTAATAAAAACGCATTTATGGTATTGAAGGACTCTATAAATTCTCTTCACTCTGTTTTGAAATTTCCACTTTTTCTTCCTGATTGAAAAACATAAAACATATTCATTCTGAAAAATGTGAAAAACACAGAGAAGGGCGAATATGAAGAAAATCACTTTTAGTTTACCAATAGTTAGGATTTTATGTATTTCTATATTTCTAATATTCTTAGAATATTAACAGACATGTGTCTTTTAAAAAGTGATGACACTGTATTTTGATCATAACTCTTTAAAGATTTAACAATATGGGGAAGATTTCTACATGTCATTAAGTATTTTTTCTGTAATAATATTTAATGTATTCAGTATTGCATCAATTAGACAGGCTATACTTTGTAACTTTGCTGCTTTACAGTAAATTCTTTACTGCTGATCATTTAGGTGGATCAGTTTTTTTTGGAAAGTATAAATATGCTTGCAGGTCCATCATTGCTCACATTTGTGATTATTTTCTTTGAATACATCTCTAGAAAAATTTGTTGAGGCATAATATCAATATATGATCTTCATAATATTTGGAAATACAAGATTTAAGGAGATCTTAGTAGTGAAAGATTCTTAAAAATACTTTAGGCCAATTTTATTACCATGTTTTTGTAAGGTCTCCTTAAGGCACTAAAATAGAATAACATTCATCTTTCATATTCTTGCCTGTTTTCCTTCTGAGAATTTCTTTTTAATCTGTAAGTGCTCTTTATATATGAAGAATACTAACCTTCTATCTTTAATGTGTTGCAGATCATTTTCCCAATTTGTCACTAATATTTTATTTTTATTCAGGTTTTCGATATGCTGACATTTCAGTTTTTCAAGAAGCCTGCTTAGGAGTTTCTCAAAAGCTTTTTGCCTTTGCATCATGTTTAGAAATAACCTCATAGTGAAAGAAAATATGCATATATCTGTATCTTTTTCTAGTCTTTTATTTCTTTTCAAACATTAAAACTTTGATTTTAGAATATATTTAGTGAATTAATCTGTCAGTCTCTTCCTGTGTTAATACCATACTTTCAAGGTTACTGTAGCTTTGTGACATGCTTAGTATCTACTAAGACAGAACCTCTCTTCATTCTTGTAGTTTGACTAGCGCTGAAGGTGTTTAAAATTATTTGGTCAAGTTCTACGAACAAAAATCCTGTGGTTTTAAATCGCTTTTGGCATAATGGAGGGGTCACAGGAGTTCTTTATCTTAAAAAAACAAACATAAAACTAACAAGAAACAGAACAAAGGTTATGTCCAATGAAGCAAGGAATTGGCCCCGTGAAGTCTCAGTCTGAGTCCGAGAGAATCCTGAAGGCTGACATGTGTCTCCTTGGGTTGTGAGCAGATTTCCCTAAGGATGACAGTCACAAATTGTGCCACTATATAAACTTTGGGTAAGAACAATGAAATTGGGGGCCCTGATGGGACCTGAAAGAAGTGGGTATTATTCTCAAAGAGGCCTAATTTGATACCAAAAATGGCAAGGGACATAGTTGAAGGGGAAAACTGTGGACACAGGATTTTTATCATCGAGGTGTACAACGTAACTTCAGCTACAGAGGGAGAGGGCGGAGGTGGGCTGGGAGAAGGTGGCGGGGAGGGAGCGGTGCTTCCAGAACAAGGAGCTGTGGATTAAGGGGGTTTCTTGAGAACCTCACTGACATTTGAATGTTGGAAATACAAGGAAGGGTGGTTCTAGTGAAGAGGAAAGAGCATATTTAGGAAGAGGATGAGCCAGGTAACAAAGCAGAAGTGAAGCTCCGGACTAGACAGGGTTCATTCCTCGTCTCATCCTCGTGTCCTGTTCATGCTGTTCTTCAGCCAACGGCTGATCCCATTAGAACAACAAAATAAGCACAATCAGATAAGCAGCTGGGCACATGCTAGATGCAATGTGTGTTCTACAAGATGGAACAGAGACCAATGATAACAGAAAAGATGACGTAAAGGAGGTCCAACATACGTATAGTTAGTCTTTCTTTAAAAAATTCAACAGTATAATTAAAAGTTTTCTCATTCTTTTCCTTTAAGTCTTTGTAAATATTGATTCGGTACCTTTTAGCATTGAGTATTTCTGAAGAGAGCTCTGGCCAGTCTGATTTTTTCCCTTGAATGCGTCTCACTTCTTCTGTCATGATACCTCCATGATTTCTTCAATATTCTGAAGTTCTATATTTTCTTCTGGGCAGGATATAAATAGTTTTTGTGTAAATAAATTTTTATATCTTGAAGTGTGTGCCTATGTGTTTCAAAAGAGGTGTTTTTTTTTAAAAATGTGGTCTTCAAATCTGCAGTGTTTCTATTTTTTATCTCTGCCATTCTTTCCTGAGCTCATTTTTCCCTGTTGTCTTAAAGTGTTTTTATTAAACTCTTGTGTATCTACCTGAGTTTTTTAAAAGAGAAATCAGGTTATCTGTAATTTATTTGTGATTTTTTTTGAGTAATTTACACAGGGATTCATCTTCCTTGACTACACTTGCTTATGTTTCTGTTTTTAAATATCTGTGCGCATCGATCTCCTGAGGATTCTGTTTTGATAGGGATTTTCTCTTTAAGGGGTCTCTGCTGCATGTGTCTCTCATCCTTGGTTAGGCCAGCAGGCTAGCCAGGGCACGTTCTTCTCTTGGTGGTCACAGGGACGCATGAGAGCAAGGGTCTTTCTTGTACTTTCTGCTTCTGCTACCATCCCATTGGTCAAGGCAACTTGCATAGCTGAAGTTAGGGGGCAGGGAAGTACCCTTACCTGTGAGACCAGAGCAAGTTATGGGGTCAGGCCAAAGTCATTGGAGTTGGCAAGTTTTCTTCTCCCATAGAGATTATGTACTGTGTGTGTGCGTGTACGTGTGCATGTGTGGTGGGAGAGGTTAGGGGTGGGAGCGAATATTTTTGAATAATAATCTAATCTAATCTAGCACAGCCAGGCTTTTTTATTGAGACAGAATCGCTCCAGAGAGCATGCTTGAATCACGATACTCACACCATCCTCATAACATAGTCATAAATTAATATTAGGTGAATTGGGAAGAGTCAGTACTGATGAGGAATGGCAGGCAGGTGTCACTTTGTGAGGTTAAGCCAGCTTTACTCCATGAGCTAAATGTTTGAAAGAGATGGGGAGGCTCTGATACCTTCCTTACTATTTAACTCATAACCTTAACTCTAATTCGAAACTTTAGTCTGTAATGAGTAGAAATCTAGAAATGGATTCCTCTCAACCCCCTAAGTTCAGTGTCACTTGAACTTTCTGACTGTGACCCACAGGCATCGTCTATGTGCATGTATATGTGTTCGTATTACTGGAACTAATGTTTCAAGAAACAATGCTTTTCCTTTCTGTGAGAGCTTCTCTGTGATCCTTGGTTTTTTGTTCATTCCGTTCCAACTGATTCCAAGAACAGATGGCTGGTTATGATCTAATAAATTAATTTCATGACCCACTAATGGGCTGTATTTACAGTTTGAAGCAATGCTGCCCATTTTCTGTCAACTCTTGTGTGTACTGATTCTCATTTTCTGATATTTGGCTGGAGGGACGGGTCAGCACATGAGACTCCTAGCACAACTCCAGATT